CCTGACTGTGCGCAGAGCCTCTCTCTGTGCACTGAGCCCTGACTGTGTGCAGAACCTCTCTCTGTGCACTGAGCCCCGCTCTGTGCACCAAGCCCTGACTGTGCGCAGAGCCTCTCTCTGTGCACTGAGACCTGACTGTGGGCCAAGCCCCACTCTGTATGCAGAGCCCTGACTGTGCTGTCTTCTCCCTGTTCCCAAAGCGTGAGGAACCCACAGATGCCCGGAACAGCGATGCCCTCTCCACATCCAGCGGCCTGCTTGACCTCTTGCTGCACGAGGACCTGTGCTCAGCCACAGGGTCGGCCCCGTCTGGGAGTGGAGCCTCGGCAACCTCTGATTTCCTGGGCTCAGCCTCGCTGGGCTGCGATACATCCAGAAGTGGGACAGGTATGTTGGTGGCGCTGGGAGCACCCGAATCCTGTGAGCGTGGGCACGTTTCAGTTGCTGGATTTCACGTTTGTTTGGTCACGATGGTCCCCTAATGTCCCTGGGCATCCCCAGGTTTCCCTGCACCCCAGGCCACAGGCCTGTGTGTGCTCAGGGCCCAGTATCCCGTGCAGACCAGGTCTCCACGGGCGTCCAGCTGGTGCTCCAAGTGGCTCCCAGAGCCTGCTGCAGTGGGGACCAGCAGGTGAGGGCTTCTTCCTCCTGCGCCCGCCCTGCCGGTCCGCATTCCCTCCACCCGTTTGCTACGGACATTGCTGTCCTCGTGGGTCTCCACCCCGCCGGCCCTTTGGGACCATCTTGGACCCTCCCTTGGGCTCTCTGGGCCTGCAAGGAGGGCCACCAGTGTCCCCCTTGCTGAGGTAGCTCCCTCATGTGAACCTAGGGCGTGGACGGCACGCTTCACCAGGGAGGATCCCTCGGGCGTGATCCGGGACGGCCGACTGAGAGCCCTGCCTTCACCTGTTCTCTGGGCTTCCCCCCCCGGGAGGCTCCCGGCAGAGTGTGCCAGGCCAGCTGCCTCCCGCTTACAGAACCAGCTTCTCTGTGGCCTGGCCTAGTCAAGGAGCAGGGAGCATGATTTCTACGGGGAGACAGAGGTGGGGCAGAGGGAGAAGGAGAGAGAATCTTGAGGAGGCTCCGTGCCCAGCGCGCAGAGCCTGATGCGGGGCTCGATCCCACGACCCTGAGGTCATGACCTGACCAGTCAAGAGTCGGACGCTTAACTGACGGAGCACCCCTGGGCGTCCCAGAGGAGCAGGATCCCCAGCTGGACTTCTCAGGGCTGACCCGGGAGAGAATCATCTCCATGGTGCTCGCTGGAATTATCCAGATAATTTGAGACCTGGAAAGAGAAGGGAAAATCCGCCAATCTAGGCACTCGTGACCAAGTAAAACTGTTCAGCTCCCTAAAACTGCCGTTACACAAGGTTTAATTTCATGTGAAAGGTTTTCACTTGCCACGTGTTGTGTTTTTTAAAGGCAGCAGTGACACAAGTCATACCAGCAAATATTTCGGAAGCGTTGACTCTTCGGAGAATAACCACAAAGCAAAAGCGAAGGTGGACATGGAGGAAAGTGAGCACTTCATCAAGTATGTCCTCCAGGAGCCCGTCTGGCTACTGATGGCCGACACAGATGACAGCGTCATGATGACCTACCAGATGCCTTCCCGGTAACCACCCACCTTCTCCTAGGGACGTGGGGCTCCCTGAGCAGCAAGGCCGCCCAGTCAGGGGCACTTCCCTCTGAGAGCCTCATCTCAGATTGAGTGGAGCACAGTGGACGGAGAAGCGGTCACTCTGGACGGCTCAGTGGTCCCGCGGAGCCCTGCTGTGTGGACGGTGTGCCCCGGAGCCCTGCAGAGTGACCTGCTGCAGGCTGTGAGGAGGACGGGCTCCCTGCCAGCCCCCCCGGGACGCTGCGCTCCGTGCTCATGAAGCGTTTGTGCCAGTGTTTCCCTTTGGCTTGGTTGCCTGTTCACCCTGTGGGCGAAATAGGGCGTGTCTGTCCTAGAGATGCAGGAGCCAAAGGCCAAGGGAGGTGAGCAGCCCCGGCCACCAGCTGCTCTGTGGTGTGGCCACTGGGTCTGTGCCTCTGCCGCTGTGGCTCCGTGTCACGCTGTTCCAGTGACCGCCACGGTCCCTGCTGCTCAGAGCCCCCACGGTGGGGGAGCCGGGGAAAGAAGGAGGGATGAACCCTGAGGCCCAGGCCTGGTGCGGGGGGGGGGGGGGTCCTGGGGCTCCACCTCCAGAGCAGCTTCAAGCCAGCCCAGTGTTTGCAGGAGGCCAGGGACGGTTATTCCATCTACTGCCTTGATGGAGTTAACCAGCCTGTGCGGAACCAAGCGTGGGTACCCAGCTCCCCTGATTGAAAATGAAACCAAGATCGTGACTTGGATTATCATTTTAATAGAAAAACTACAGTTTATTGGCTAGGGAGATTAAGGTGCCTTAAGTAGGGTAATTTATTTTAAAGAGAAAGGAAACTTGCATTAAACAAAATCACCTGAAAGTAATTAATCCTGAAAGAGTTGCTAGAAAAAGAGTGTATTTTTTTTAAAATCCGCAGAACCCCCTTAAGACACCGTGACGCTTACCTCTTTCTGTTCTGTGAAGGGCTCTGGAAACAGTGTTGAAGGAAGACCGGGAGAAGCTGAGAGCGCTGCAGAGCTCCCAGCCCCGCTTCACGGCGCGCCAGAGGCGGGAACTGCAGGAGGCACACCCGTGGCTGCAGGCCTGCCGCCTGCCCGCCGCCCTGGGCCTCGCGGTGAGCTCGGCGCCCTTGTTTGCGCTGTGCTGGGACCACTGCCTGTTGCCCTTTGCCGCTGTCCTGTAGGCCTCAGAATTCTCCAGCTAAAAACAGTTTGGTCATGAAGACCAGCGATGTGGGGATGCTATTGAGCCTACTTTAAAGAACTTTGCAACCTTGTTCCCAAAAAGGTCTTCTGAATATTCCATCTCAATTGCAGACGGAAATTTGAATGCTGTTTCTTTGTTTCGATTCTGTTTCCAATTGAAAAAGCGAACAGAACAGGAAGCAGCTGTCCTGTCGTGGACCCTCTGTGTCCACGTGCACGTAATGGTGGCAACACCATGCCCAGCGGCCTCGGGGGCCAGCAGCTGCGCCTTCTCCGCTCGGGACTTGCCGGGACGTGTCTGTGCCCAGCCCCACCCCCTGGAAGCCGCTGGCTTCAGGGTGTCCGTGTCCTTCAGCCGCCGAGCGCACCGCCGTGTCTGTCCTCCACCTTTGGGACACGACCCCCGTGCCCTCCAGCCCCACTGGCTGCCCCAAGCTGCCGTGCTCCTCCAGGGGATATTTACGGCGCCCCCCCCCCCCGCAGGTCCTTCCCCCTGTCCCTACAGACGTGTCCCCCGCCAGCCGAGCCCCAGCCCAGTCGGAGTAAAGTGCTGCAAAGCCATAAAAATCTGACACGCCTCCCCATCTGCTGTTTATTTTCCCTCGCTCTCCGCAGCCACGCGGGCCTCTCGCCTGTCCCTGAACGCAGCAGGCAGGCCCCTGCCGTCCGGCCTTTGCACCTGCCCTCCCCTCTGCTTGGAAGCCCTTCGCTCAGTCACGCAGCTCCTCCTGGCTTCCTTCAGGGGTTCTCGTCACGTGCCACAGAATTGTCTGTTGCCTCAGAGCAAAAAACCCCAAACCTTAGTGGCCTAAAGCAGTGAACACTTACGATCTCCCAGTGTTTCTTTGGTCTGGGAATTTAAGAGCAGCTTGGTCGGGCAGTTCTGGCTCAGGGTCTGTCCTGAAGGCGAAGGCAAGGTGTTGGCCGGGCCGTGTGTGATCCTCTGAAGGCTGGAAGACACACTTCCCAGGAGGCTCCCTCACGTGCCCCACGTGGGCCTCTTTCTGCAGGGCTGCCTGGTGTCCTCGTGGCATGGCAGCCTGCTCCACAGAGAGGACAGGAGGGGGCCACAGTGCCTCTTAGGACCCAGCCTCGGGGGTTCCATACTGCCCTCCAGCACATCTTCCCCTCCTCTTGGTGTGGGAGGTGATCGCTAAGTTCAGCCCACGCCGCAGGGAAGGGGAGTGAGGGTCCACCCTGTGAGGGGAGGGTGTCACAGAACCCTCTTCCATCAGGAACTTTCTCTGGCCTGTTCTAAAGGTCCAGAGTAAGATTGCAGGCCTCGTCCGTGTGCCGTGTCCCGTGTCCACCTAGGCTTTCATCTTGAATACGCCGGGGACATTATTGTCCCTCCCCTTACCAGGATCCCTCCTCCCCTACCAGGGCGGGGATTTTCATCTTTGTTCACTGGTGAATCCCAGCGCTTAGGACCTGCCTGGAGCATTATAGGTGCTTAACAGATAGGGAATGAGACAGTACATTCTTGATGCTCCATTTTCTGGATTAGAAAACTGAGGTTGGAGAAGGCAGTTAAACTGGGCCTTGGCTGCGGCCCCACAGGCAAGAAGGGAGGAGCTGGGACAGACCCCGAGCCTGCTGGCTCTGCCGTCCCCTCACCATGTAGAGCTGCCTCTCAGATAAGGGCCCGGATGCTCCCCTGGCCTTGGGGAACTGGGGCCCCTGGGGGGCAGCACTGACCTCCCTCAAGAGCAGGCGAGGTCCCAGCAGCCCCTCAGAGTCTTCCCACCCCCCCCCCCCCGCTCTCCAGCAGCCTCACAGGGCTGACCCCAGGTCACCTGCACCTCCCGCAGGTAGAACCACTTTTTGGTAATGAAGATGTCATTTTTGTTACTGACTTTACACTTTTCTCTTTAAGGAATGTGTTTACTGTGAGAATAAGGGACAAGACGACATCTGTGTACCGTATGAGGAAGATGCTCCAACCCTGGGTCTCAGTGAAGCCACAGACGCCAAAGAGGAGGAAAATGGAGCCCCCTTGAGTCACAGATTTGAAGAACGGACCTAACTCTCCTCCCTGCAGCCGACAGCCCGTGATCTACATTAGATGGTGCTCAGAAGCGATGAAAGATTTTCACATCTGTTTGTAATGAAATGGACAGATAAACTTATGTTGCTTTTTTTTTTTGTTTTAGGAAAAAAACGCATAATTTTCTGAAGGAATGATTTAAAATGGGTGAGGGTGGGAAGGGATTAGGAGGAAATAGACTTTTCTATTTAAAACGTAAATACAGAGTTTGGGACAGATTTCATGATTATTTAACTTGAGAAAGACTGAATCCCCTGTGCACGCAGCAGGGAGGTTTCCCTAGGGCTCTCGGCGGTCCGTGGACTTGAGGAGGCTTCTCACTGGCCCCCGGGGGTGTCCAGAGGCATCTTCCAGGCTGTGGCAAACAGCTGGGATGCCCCCGGTCCTTCCGGAGCTGCCCTGGGTGTGTTTGGATCAGATCAGATCCTGTGCTCTGGGGGCTGCTCTTCATCTAAGTCGTCATTTAGTCCAACTAGTTTTTGAAACATCAAATGGAGATCACAGCCTCTCCTAATTTTCTGTCAAAGTGTTTCACGTGGATCGGCGTGAAGCGTACTCAGCAAACCAGCACCTTCCGCTTCGGCTACTACAGTGGCAAACGTTTCAATCTGATGTAGCTTGTGTTTGGGGCGAACAAAGGAGAGATGCTCACTCCGGACAGAAGAGGCCCCCGTGGTTTGTGTGGCCAACTCCATCAGACTAGCACACACCCAGAACCTTCTGCATATTTCTACATCATTCTTGTATCCTTTTCAGACCATGACCCATATGTAGACAAAATACGGCGTTGACTGTCTCTGTGGTGACTTCCCTTTGCAGACCAGGCTCTGACCGCCACATCTGGGACCCGTTGGTGTTTGTCCTTCAGTTGGAGCCTCCCAGACATGAGCTCTGACACTGTGAGCTGGTGACCCCGTCTGTGTTTTCCTGGGTGCCGTGAGCTCACCTCTCCCCGCACCCTGGGCTGGGACGCCAGCCCTCGTTCTTTTCATGAGCCTGACCTCACTTGGGGCAGTTTCCAGTCCTTGCAGTGACGGTCCTAGCATCACTGGGACCCCTGGGGAAGAGTGAGGCCAGTCTGCCCATCTCCTTAGAAAACCTCACGTTGCATCATGTATCCTAAAGATTGGGGAAAAGCTATATTGGTCCCTGGAGTGAATGGAAAGTTACCACAGGTGAAACAATTGACTTAAAATCGGGTCGAGTTTGCAGAAACCGAAAAGAAAGCGGGCTTCCCCCTGTCCTCTGAGAGAGAAGCGGCTGCTAGAGTAAATGGAGCCTCCTTGGAATGGCTGGGTTTTCCGTCTTAACGTTTGGATAGTAATCCGATTTCTCATAAGCTCAAGTATAAGAATACTGGTGGGGTTTTTTTTTAACTATGTGTAAAGAAACAGCACCTTCAGATGCCCAAAATGAGGTAATAACCTCTGCGTCTGTGTGGAGAATAGATGCCTCCGAACCTGCCTCCTCCCTCTGAAGTCCGATCATTAAGGGATTAGATGCTAGTCAAGGTCACATGTATGTTACCTGAACATACAACTGTCAAAACGTTTTCCAGTGTTATGAATGTTTACCATCAGCATTATTTTATTTACATGATTTGTGCTCATTGATTGTTAAGTGCATAGCTTTAACCCGTGCTCAGAAGTTGACAGTAGGAGCATTTTGTGAAATTGTTTACACGGTGCCACGCATCGAGACGTGTTTCCTTTAGTATGTGTGCTTACACAGGGGTTATAAAACCTTTTTTTCTCGATTTTAAACTGAGCCTTCTTTTTAATCTATTCCTAAAAAGACATGTAAATAAGCTCTCAGAGTCTGTGTAATGACTTGGTAAGCCTTGCTGGACAAGTGGTTTGTTCATGCACAAACCAAACTTTCTTCACCCAGTGCAATATGTTTGTTTACTGCTTGTGTCTTTTTATGACTGTTTTTGCTTTTTAGAAAATTGGTAAATAAAGCAAGTATATTTTTGTTGTTAATTGTATGTATTTTTAATGTAGCACAGAGCAAGAATAAGAGAGATCAAAGATTACCAAAAGATTAAAAAAAAAAAAAAAGAAAAGAAAAAAGAACTCCAGAAATGCTGTGTGAGGGACACGTCTGTCACCAAGGGCTCCCTCATCTCTCCCATTGCACAGTGAGCCCCTCCCTGCGCGGGCGCGTGGGCACCTCTCTTCCGTGCCCCCTCACCACACGCTGCCGGAGCTGCCCAGTGAAGTCTTAGGATGTGAAAGTCACAAAATGTAAACTCTAATCCTGTGATCCAGTGCTCCCACGGGCATTTCACTTGCAGATGCAGGGGTGGGGCTGCCTGACTCAGCTCCCAGCTCCTGTCCACTCTGAGGTGGCCCCAGGCACCTACTCTGTTCCCTTTGTGCCCTGCCCAAGGTTGTCTGTGCCTCCTGGGCTAGCTGGCAGCGTGCTGGTCATGGGGCTGAAGGCAGAGGTCAGAAGGATGCCAGCCAGAAAGGCCTCATGTCTCCATCGGAGACCACAGAGGCGGCACCGCACCCTCCCCCACCGCACACTCCCAGTTCTTGCCACATTGATGAAGCCTTGCGGGGCTGGTCCAAACAGGGGAGTCCTGCTTCCAGCCTCCTCCCACTTTTCATGCCAGCACCATGGGGAACCGAGCAAAGAGATGAATGGATCCTGGATCCAGTGCCCAGCCTCCCAGAAGCTCCCTGAGGTCAAGCAGGGGCTTGACCCCCTGCCTCCTGACCTAGTGGTGATGGGGAGACGGGGTGTGGGTGGGGAGACAAAGAAAAAGTTCTCCCAGTGAGTACAGAAGCCTCTGCAAACTGGCCTTAAATGGCCAGATATGGCTGTTTCACCAAACTGAATGCCACTGGGGACTCTTAATTCTGTTTTTATTTACCATATAACCCCAAAGGCACCCCCCCACACACTTTATTTCCAGACCAAAAGGAGCTTCTCCAAGCTTTCTGGGCTGATTGCCTACGAGGGCCCTGAACATGCATAGGCTGGCTGCTGCCTTTGTTCCCTGGGGATTTATGGCCTGCCACCCCTGCCGCTAACTGGTCCCCCTGTGGCCACCACAGACCTGCCCAGCCTCTGCGGGCCTCTGTTCCTGGATCTGGGGGGATCAAAGGGCCCAAATGCTCAGGAAGTCTGCGCTCAAGCAACCTTTGAAGGTAGGATCAGTCCAAGAGACAAATGGCAGGAAATGGGTCCACTAGGGGAGGTTGTGCAAAGGAGGGAGAGAGGGCTTGGTGGCCCTGAGATGGAACAACCAGGCTTCTGGGAGGAAAAGGCCAAGCCAGCCAGCCAACGGATGCACTAAGGGAAATTGAGGCGAACTTCAAAGATGGGGCCTTGGGCAACTTCTGGTCCATCCAAAGATCTTATTGATTCCTAATATCCTGCTCTATCCTCGTGCTTTTTTACCTCGGGGTACTTGGTCACAACGAGGCTTATCCCAGCACTTAATTTCTCCTTCCTTCAACTCTATGGACAACACTCCTCAAACCCCACTTTCCCATGTAAGACGAGACTCTTAAGGTCCCTCTCCCTCCCTTCAGCCTCCTCCCTTCTCCTGACAACTGTTACCTATCCTTTTGTTTTTACAAAGTCAGCTTTATATCATATTCCATAACCATAATAAGTCCTCCTTCCCTTCTCTATAGATTGATTCTAAATGTTGAAACCTCATGAACAGTGTTACATTGTTTTGACTGTGAAGGAACTGTTAGCTCCTAGGTCAGTCAATGTGCTGAGATTACATTTCTCTTTGGGGGGAGTTTTTTGTTTTTCCTGGAGTTCCTAGTTGCCTCTCATTTTTTGCTTGCACTGTCCACCTCTATCATGCCTTCCTCCCTATACCCATGCCCCATCCAACCAAGTGTTCTATTGATCTTTTCCCAGAGGCCTCCCCTGGGGCACTGACCATCATGTTCCAACAGGAACTGCCTTTCATGGAGAGCATTCTAAAATACTTGTTTGGCTTTGTTCAAATAATACAATGGGTAAAGGGAGGCATATGCATCAGACTACAAGAAATACCACTGAGTTTCTTTTTTCATATTTCAGATTCTCAAAGTAGTGGAAACTTAATTGTACTTACTTAGGGGTCTCCTTCCCCGGAGTGATGTCTAAGTGGTGAAGAAGAGAAAAGTCACAGACCAGTTATGGGCTCTCATGGGGTCCACACTGAGCCCCCTCCCCTGTCAGCCCCACCACTAGGGGTAAGGGGAGAAGGGCATTTGGGTCTCTGAGCAGCCAGGTGAGGGGGAAGGAAGAGACCTGAGCTTTCTGGCATGCAGGGGGGACTGAAAACAGCAGGGGATGACTGAAGTAAAGGGGTAGGTTTCTACCTGGATGATCAGTGCTAGGCTGGGAAGGTCTTAGAAGCCTGCTCACAGAGAAGCAAACAAGAGGCTGAGTGATGAGAGGTGAAAATTGACAGAAGAAACTCTCAGGTAGCTATAGATAGACGTCAGTGAGGTGACTTTGGGAAACGTCAAACCTCTTACCAAACTCACCCTGTTTGTAAAGGTCCTTCTAGTGGGGACCCCAAAGTGAAATAGTCACAGGGAGTAAGATCCATCTTAGGTGGCTGGGGTGGGGCATATTTGTGGCCTAGTACTACCACTCACTGCACTGCAGTCCCTGGATGTTTCCTTCCCCTGCTGCTTTCCAGCCAGGCTTGGGACATCCCCTCACCTTCCCTACCCACCCAGGCTTCTGCTGAGGCCAGGCTCTGTGCTGGAGGTAGATAGGAGGTTCTAGGTAGGTACCTTGACAAAGGGATGCTTATTGTCTGGAGGGATGTGGACCAGACCCTGGCAATCCCAATCCCTGGTGAGTAGTACGGGACTGGGTAAGGGTGCGGTGCTACTGTGGGGCAGGTGCACTCCCACCGGAAAGAGGAAGAGGAATAGGGAAGCTGAGACCTAAACAGTGAGGAAATAGATATTTGGGGGAGTGCTGAAGAGTGTCCCAGGTGGCAGGCTCAGTCTTTGTGAAGGCCTGGCGGCCACAGCCCATTTTCCCATCCCAACCTGGCTGCGCCGTGAAGTGGACCTAAGCCAGTGGAGCAGGGAACAGGCGGCGGTCCCCAGGGTGCTGCCCAAGGTCGCGGCCCCCCCCCCGCCCACTCACCCCACCCACAGGGAGGCCAGTCTGGCAGATGGGCGGCCTGCGGTGGGGGTGGCGGTCGTCTGGCGGACACAGGCTCACCCGCCATCCGCCGCCGGACAAAGCGGGCCTAGACAAAGGCGCGGCCAACACCTGTCGCTCTTGGCGCGGCCCCCGCTTTTCTCCACCGAAGCGGCTGCAGCTGCCAACTGTCATGGGCATCAAGTTACGGGGACCAGACGGCGGCCTACGCGAATCTGGTGAGGGGAGGGCTGGGAGGAAAACGGAGCCGAGGGGGGACGGGGCGGGGGACCGGGGACGAAGGAGACTGGCCAGGGCGAATGAACAGGAGTGGGGACCACAGAAGGACGGGCGGGGAGCAGGGAGGACCGGGAAGAGTGGGCGGGAGGAGGAACAGTGAAGGGTGGGGAGGGCGGTCAGGGATGTACAGCAGGGGCGGGGGGGTGTGGCTGGGAGGGAAAGGGAGGTCACAGGGGGACATGGGGGAGCTCAGGGGAGACAGCGATGATGATTAGAAGAGAATGGGCGGCTGGTGAGGGGCGGTGGTGGGTGGTACCAGGGAGGAAGCGGCGGGCGGGGGAAGGGTGACCTGAGAAGGAGCGCCAGGAGGAGGGGCGGTGCCGGCTGGCCGGCGGACCCCGCCCCACTAGGATCCCCGCGCGGGCGGAGGGCGGTGTCGAGGGTCGAGTCCGGTGTCGGGACCCACAGATGCGCAAGAAACTCAACGGAGCCATAGGGCCGCTGCCACCGCCGCTACCCCGTGGGCCCCCATCTCCCCGGGGCTCCGCAGCTATCCCAAGCCAGACCCGTAGACCTTTCCAGGTCCAGAGACCGCGGCGTTGACTGTGGCTCTGCCCTAACAGAATCCAGCACCCCGACAGTCGCGCGGGAGCGCTCCTCCCGGGAGGCACCTTGCACGAACTAGGACAAGTGTGACTGAATGAATGCTGCTCCCACGCACAGCAGACCTGGGGGCCTGGCTCAGGTAGGGAGAGCAACAGACGCAGCCCTGGCCGCCGCTCTCCGGGTCACCGCCCCCTCGGGTGCCCCAAGCCGCTGGGGTTGCGAGGAGGCCGGGCTGGGGGCCCCGCCCGCCGACCACGCCCCACCAGCTGCCCGCCGACCCGGGCGGCGGGGCCGGACAATGCGCGCCGCTCCCATTGGCCGCGGCGCACCTCGAAGCCCGCGGCTCGGGGCCCGCGCGGCCAATCCGTGCATTGAGATGCAAATAAGATGCTATAAAAGGGGAGGGGCCGCGGCGGGCGGAAGACGCGAAGGAGCGAGGGCCGCGGCCGCCCCAGCGGAGCAAGGCAAGGGGCGCGGGCGCTAGTCGCGCTCGCCCCGCTCTGGGCGGTGCGGGTCATGGCTCCGCCCCCGGCGCCCGGCCGGGACCGTGCGAGCCGGGAGAATGAGGACGGCTGGGAGACTCGGGGGGACCGCAAGGTGCGGGCCGGGGCCTCAGGGGGGCAGGCGGGCGGGAGGCCCGGGACCTGAGCTCAGTCGCCCGCTTCCCGCAGGCCCGGAAGCCCCTGGTGGAGAAGAAGAGGCGCGCGCGGATCAACGAGAGCCTTCAGGAGCTGCGGCTGCTGCTGGCGGGCGCCGAGGTGAGACGGGGTCGCCGGGCGAGCTGGCGGGCGCCCTGGGGCCGCTGGGCCGGAGAGCGGGGTTCGCGGCGCCGCCCGGCCTCACCGACCCCCCCCACACGCCCCCGGCGCTCCCGCCGGCGCAGGTGCAGGCCAAGCTGGAGAACGCCGAGGTGCTGGAGCTGACGGTGCGGCGTGTGCAGGGCACGCTGCGGGGCCGGGCGCGCGGTGAGTGGCGGTGGGGCGCGCGGGCGGGGCGCGGGGCGCGTTCGCCCAGCCTGTCCCCGGCCGCGGACTGGGGACTTCCCCGCCCGGCGCCCCTGCACTGTCGGCGGCGAGGGCGACCTCCGGGTCCCGTGGGTGAGCCCTGTCCCCGCGGGCTGGGCGGGCCTGGCCACCGCAGCGGCTGCTTACCGGACGGGGCGCCGCTCTCTCCCTCCCACTCCTGGCGCAGAGCGCGAGCAGCTGCAGGCGGAAGCAAGCGAGCGCTTCGCGGCTGGCTACATCCAGTGCATGCACGAGGTGCACACGTTCGTGTCCACGTGCCAGGCCATCGATGCCACCGTCGCCGCAGAACTCCTGAACCACCTGCTCGAGTCCATGCCTCTGCGCGAGGGCAGCAGCTTCCGGGATCTGCTGGGGGACGCCCTGGCCGGGCCTCCGGGAGCCCCTGGGCGAAGCGGCTGGCCCACGGGAGGGGTCCTGGGGTCCCCTCAGCCCAGTACCCCAGGCCCCGGGGACGACCTGTGCTCCGACCTGGAGGAGGCCCCCGAGGCTGAACTGACCCGAGCGCCTGCTGAAGGGCCAGACTTGGTGCCAGTGGGCCTGGGCAGCCTGACCGCTGCCCGCATAGCTCAGAGCGTCTGGAGGCCTTGGTGACTAACACCAGCCCGAGGTTTGCGAGGGTGGGCGTGGCCTTCCCTTGCTCTGTTCCCTCCTCCCTGCGGTCCAGATGTGGTGGGGCGAGGGGGCCTGGCCGTCTCCCAGGGCTGCTTGCTCTCTTCCTCCAGTGGCTGGGTTGCCGGGCAGTCTGGGATGACCAGCCCAGTCAGGCCCCTAGCCCTGTTTCTTAAGGAAGTATCTCTTACGGACCCCACAGTCCCGTCCCCCCCCCCCCCCGGCCCGTGGGTGGAGGGCAGGAGCTACAGGCAGGAGGAGGAGGAATCTTAGGGAACCAGGGTTTTCCAGGGTTTCACTGTCCCAGCCTTCTCAGGTACCGTGTGGATCTGGGGGCAGGGGTGACCAGAATGGTGCCGAAGTCCTTCTCGGGCCTGGGCACTAGTGACGGGACAGAGGGACACCTCAGACCCTGACAGCCCTGGCCTGAGCAGAAGCTTGAACTTGCCACTTGAGTCAGGACACAGGAGAGGCGGGTGCTTCCTCCACCTGCCAGAGAGAAGCACAGCTCCCTGGACGTCTTGAGTCTGTGTGTTAGGTTACCACCACGTGTTCCAGTTTTCTTAAATAAAGCATCTTGGAGAGTTAGCTACCCTTCTGGAGTAGGACTGAACGATGTCGCGTCATTGATGTGTCTAATGTGTAAATACTACTCGAGGGGCGTTTTTCTTGTATCTGATGCTGGCAAATGTTTCTAAAAGCTCTCACCCTTTGTCAGCAGCATGAGGAGCACAGTGGTGATGGAGAGGAGACACCTTGCGGCGCGTGTCACGGTGGACACTGCTTCCGCCTCCCCAGGAACTGTGTCACGGCATCCTGGAGATGGATACCATTGCCATGGGGTTTGTCTCCCAAGTAACAAAGCAACAGGGGAACAGCCCGCCCCCCAACCATTCTCTGGTTCGTGACCTTCTAGGAACAAAACTAATGCCTACTCCCTAGCCATGTGGTTTGGAAGTTTCTCTCAAAGACCTGTTTTAGGATCCACGAGCGTGATGCAGATGTCAGTCTACTTGTGTGAGGTGGTCACTTTTCCTGGCAGAAGAGGGATCTTCCCCCAGTACCAGTGAGTTCAGGGACATGGAGAGCCTCCCCTTCATGGCTTGAAGTGCAAGCCCCGTTGCTCTACTCAGCTTGGACTAGAGGTCACAGTGGGCTGCCCAAGAGGTCAGAGACCTTGGAAGGAGGGGGAGGGGACGGGCAGCAGGGGTGGAGGGAGGTTCCCTCCTGGGCTAGGCCAGGGCCCGCAGACAGCAGGTGGTCAGTTGACAGCGGTCACTGCCACAGGGAGCCCGGCCCGGTCACTCCTACTCCAGGACCCCAAAGCAACTTGAGTTGCCAGTGCCCAGACTGGGGCTGCGGGGTGACAACTCAGGATTGACACGTGGGTCTCCTCTCTGGTTGGGCGCCTTGGCTTCAAGAACATCTTTCCCAGCAGCCCTTTGACAAAAGCCTCCCGGCGGGTCCTGGCCACCAGGGGTGTTTCACATTGGCCCCCCTGTGGTTCAGTCTCAGACCTCAGCCACTAGGCTCTAACCAGATGCAATTTATTTTTAGCGACTGGGGAGAGGTTGGGACAGGGTGGAAGAGGCAGCTCCATAAGGGAGGGCTCAAGAGGGATGGAAACGTTATTCCTGGGATTATTTTAGCTGCCCCAGACAGACTGATGTAGGATGTGTCCATGGGGACACGGATGGAGCACAGGTGCCCATGCAGGTCTCAGTTGCCTGTGGCTTCCGACAGCACCCAAAGGCCACTGTGATGAGTGCCGAAGCCATTTGGGGGGCATCTGCCAGGGACTGTTTTGAAGCATCAACTCCTTCCTCTCATGCCCACACTTTGTCACATTCTCCCAGAGACCCTGGAAGAGGGCCAAGGGGACCCAGGACTCGGGATGCAAGGTGCAGGAGGCTGACCTGGGGGGAAGGGTGTCGCTGGGACCGGGACCCGCCTCAGGTCAGAAGCCACTAAAGCCAAAGCAGTGGTCCTGCGCTCCTCCCACCTCTGATTCAGCCAGTTTGTACGGTGTGCCTCAGGAGCAGCCTCTTTACCAGACATGTAAGTGGTCCCCAGAGTGGCGACCACAGTCAGCCTCTGTGAGTGAGAGCTGCTCTCGCCTCTTGGAGCCTGGACCACCAGCTTCCTGCCTTCATTCCTTCAAAAGCTCTTTGCAAATTTCCCACTCTGCCAGACAACTCTTTCATACCACCTCCCCTCTCGGAAACCCCCAAGGCTCCCTCACAGGCCTTGCTCTTGACTTTGGTAGCATTGCTTCGTCATTCCCTGAGATGAGCCTCCCTCCCACTTCAAGTCCCTGGCCCACTGTATTAGTCTTCTGTGGCTACCATAAATCGCCACAAACTTGGTGGCTTAAAGTAACATTATTATCTTGCGTTTCTGTGGAAGTCTGACACAGGATTCACTAGGCTAAACGAGAACCTAGAGCTTTCAGAACAGCTACATTCCTTCATGGAGGCTTGAGAGTGAATTCCTTTCCTTTCCTTTTCCTGCTTCAGAGGTCACCCACATTCTTTGGCTGGTGGCCCCCTTCCTCCACCTTCCAAGCCAGCAACAATGCATCTATCACACCCTTCTGCCATAGTCACATCTCCTTCTGACCCTTGTGCCTCCCTCTTCCTTCTACTTTTAAGGACCCTCATGATGAGACTGGGCCCACCTGGATAATCCAGGATAATCTCCCTGTCCCCAGGCCCTTAATCCTCAATCAGATCTGCAAAACCTCTTTTGCGGGACTCATGTAAGGTAACACACTCACAAGTTCCGGGAATGATGATGTGGACATCTTTGGGGGACCACTAATCTGCCAACCATACCCACGTGGGCCTCTGCCCAGGCATCCTGCCTTCCATCGTGATGCAGTAGGGTGCCAGCCTTCCACGCAGGCATCGGATTTGGTCCCCTCGACCTCTCAGTGACTCTGCTCCATCACTAATCCTCTCCTCCCTCTGCCTCATTCTGCAAAGAAGCTGAAATGTCTCCTTCTGGAGAAAGCGGAGATAAGACCTCCTTGGACTTTGCCGTACCCTATTAGCCTCTGCCTCCTTGCTCTGCTCGAAAGCAACATTCCGTAAAAGCGTAAAAGCGCTGTTTACCCGAGCTGTCTCCACTTGCGCACCTCTCACCTCCCTTCATGCTTTTCCAGTCAGGCCATTGTTCCCTCCCCTCCAGTGACCCTGCCCTGGTCAAAATCTCCAGTGACTGCCAAGTTGCCAAGTCCAGCGGTCCTGTCTTAAGTTTCTTGCTCAACCTTCCGCCAGCGAAGCACTCCTGGGTTATCAGCCCCTCCCTCCTGAAACTCTCTCTTCTCTCGAACTCTAAAACACCCAGTGTCCTGGGTTGTCACTGGCCATCCCCAATCTCCTTTGCTAGATTCGCCTCTCCTAGATGCACACTTGAGGCTCTGTGTCCTTCCCTATCACCCCTGCCCAGACCCCACTCGGTCCATTTGTTTTGTCCCATCGTGCGCCCTTGATGCGAAGCCCATCTCCATCCTTGTGGGCCCCTATACTCTCCTGTTTGCTTAGTATCTCCACTCCGACGTCTGATGGGCATCACAAACCACAGCCCAAGCGCCACTGACTCTCACAGCCGATGCACTGTCACTACCCCACTCACTGCCCGTTCATGGCACCCCACTGATTAGGCAAAAAAATCTATAGAAGCCACACTCTTTCTTCGCCTGTCATCTCACCTTCAGCCAATCAAGTGCATGAGCTATACTTTTTTTTTTTTTAAGATTTATGTATTTATTTGAGAGACAGCACGAGCGGGAGGGGCAGAGGGAGAGGGAAAGTCCCAAGCAGACTCCCCGCTGAGCGCAGAGTCCCACAAAGGGATTGATCCCACCACCCGAGATCACAACCTGAGATCACGGCCTGAGCCCAAACCAAGAGTCGGGCACCCAACCGATTGCGCCCCCCAGGCACCCCATGAGCTCTACTTCTAAATCCACTCTCCAGTTGTCATCTTTCCACCGACAGAGTGCTGACATCCTCATCTCATCTTTGACCTGGACTTGGGCAGCAGGGCCAACTCGCCTCCCCACTTCCACGTGGGGCTCCTGGCAGAGGCCGCCTCCGGGGTCCCTCCCTCCCGTAGCTCTGCTCTAGGCTCGGGCCTTGGCTAGAGACCTGAGAGCGAGGATCCGGTCAGTCTCGCTCAGTGCCGTTCCTGGACGGCCTGGAGCCGGCGCTGGGGAAACCGGAGGGATTTGGGAATAAGGGAGCAGAGCTCCAGGGGCCCTGGGGCTGGACTCCCCGGCGCCCAGCTCACCGAGGCGCTCGGAGACGCTGGCGGGCATTCCGCGCTCAGCGGGGCGGGGGCATTGGCCACGCCCTCACCCCGCCCCGCCGGAGAGCGAACCGCGGAGCCTCCTGGGAGATGTAGTTCTTCTCCTTCCACTTCCCTTTCTGCGAGGCCGCTTCAGGCGGAGCCGGCACCGCGACTCCCAGAGGCCTCCCGGCCCGGAGGCCACGCCCCCTGCCGCGAACGCCCAGAGCCCGGTCCTCTGCCGGACCGAGTCCAGCCGCAGCCAGGAGCCTCGAGCGGTTGGCTAAGGGGCCGTGTGGCCGACCGAGGCTGGGCTGCCGTCTCTCCAGCAGCCCTGCGACCGGGACAGGAAGAGAGGAAGGCGCCTCGTGAGAACGCGAAGACAGAGGGCGCCCCGGCGGGTCTCTGCCCAGACTGCCACCCAGAGCCTCGGGAGGTCGGGAGAATTGAAAGTGCAGGCAAAGCCACCAGCGGCGGGTGCCGAGGAAGGAGGGGGTCGTTTCAGGCTGTGGAACGGAAGCAGGTCTGTTGAGGAGGGAACCCGAGCCTTGCTGACGGTGCCCGAGACCAAGCCCCGGCCTTGAGCGGCCTTCACTCTCCGCCTGCGCTGAGCACCTGGTGTGGGCTGCGGCCCAAGACAAACTGACCGGACAGACCCCTGCTGTCGTGGAACTCGGCTTCTCTTAAAATGGCCGAGAGCCCACAGAGAGCCACCGGCCTCCGCAGACTGCAGACGTAGACAGGCATCGCTTTTGAGAGCAGCCAGGGAAGCCCCCAGCTTATCAGATTGTTCGTGCCCGTCCTTGGGTTCGGGTGGAGCCGGAAGGAGACGGGATAAGCTTTTAGACTGGGGACCCAGAGGCCTACCAGCTTCTCGTGGAGCGCCCAGGTATTTACTCTGGCTAGACCTGTTCCGCTTCATCGTTGCCTCGACCATCAGCCGATGACACTTGGGGCACTGTCCTCTGACCCCCTCCAGATCCCGCCCTCCTTTAACCTCGGAAAATCTTGTCGGTGCCCCTAGACGTCTCAGTCGCCCCCCGCGGTGAGGCCGGCTCCCAGGCCGTGAGCTCCTACCTTCTGTCCACGCCCGCTCTCCCAACAAACTTGTGAAACCTCATTGGGATCTCCTAGTCTTGTCCTCGGGTTTGCTTCACAGTCGGGTTTCTTGAAAATCATTTCTATTCTCATTTTCTTCATTTGTTCACCTGTTTGCTCATCATAAAGTTTCACGCTGGCCCACATTTCTGTTCACTCTACTGAAAACTTCTGGAAGTCTCTGATGAAGTCCTTATTGCCAAGCAGACTGTTTTCTTCTTACGTAAATATTGCGGCATTTGGCACTGTCAATAAACTCATGCTTCTTAAAACCCTGTTCTCGGGGCGCCTGGGCGGCTCAGTCGGTTAAGCGACTGCCTTCGGCTCGGGTCATGATCCCGGAGTCCCGGGATGGAGCCCCGCATCCGGCTCCCTGCTCGGCGGGGAGTCTGCTTTGCCCTCTGACCCTCCCCCCTCTCATGTGCTCGCTCTCTCTCTCATTCTCTCTCAAATAAATAAAATCTTTAAAAAAAAAAAAAACCAAAACCTGCTCTCGGTCTAGTTGTCCTGCTTCCCCTTCAACCATTCCTTCTCAGATTCCAGACAGGGCTCTTCTCAGCCCACGGTTTATTGCTCTGTCCCGTGTTTCCTTCCTCAGTCCTCTTATCTCTATAGACGAAAGTCTGTATATCTCCATGGCTTTCCCTCCTGTGTCACTGACTCTAAAAATGACTTCCAGCCCAGCTGGGCTCTCTGGAGCTCTCGTGGCGTTTATCCAGCTGCCCCTAGTTGTCGGCCCTCATGGCTCCCACAGGTTCTTCAAACTCAGCAAATTCCACCTGAACCCAGCTCTTCTGCAGGACCTGCACCTCCTGTCGTGTTCTGGATCCCTGAGAGCACCATGGCTGTCCTCCACCGCCCAGGGCGGATGCCTGACGCTCAAGGAGGTACCTCCTTGCCCTTCCGCCGCACCATGTGAGCAACGCCCAGTAACTGTCAGTTCCACCTCTTTAGTCGCTGTAACCAACGAATGAGTTGGCGTCTCCTCCCTCGTCCCTCTCCCTCTGTCCACTGCTGCCGCGTTCTTAGGTCAGGTTCTTACCCCCCAGCCGGACGGTGGCAGTGATCCTTAGGAAAACTACACCTCGTGTTACCTCCTGAACTACAGTCCTTCCAAAGCCCAACACTGTGCAGATGAGCAGAGCGCGGGAGGCCCACGACCCGCCCGGGTCCACTCAGAGCTTCAGAGCTCCGCCTTCAAGCCCCTCTCCCCCGTTCCCGTCCCTGTTTCCATCTCCTGGCCAGGTGTGTGGCTACACACACACACACCCCACACACACACCACACACCCCACACACACGCCACACACACACCCCCACACACATCACACACACACCACACACCCCCCACACACACCACACACACCATACACACACATCACACACACACCACACACCACACCCCCACACACACCACACACACCACACACCCCTGCTGCTCTTCTCTGCAATTGCTTTCAGGGTTGGGAAGGATTTCCCGGGCACCCAGTTTTAGGCAGTTGTCAAGTGTCTCTTTCATTTTCCTGGTGGTATAACTCAGACGGTGTTTGTTCTCTCACAGTATTTACCGGATGCCTACTCTTTGTCAGGCATGATTCCAGTTGCTGGAGATGAAGTTTCTTCTCGAGCGTACACTTTTAGCAGGAAACCAGACAAAAAATGATGATACGGCAGAGGCAGTGTGTCTGTGCCAAGAAGAAAAGTAAGTGCAGAGGACAAGGAGGAACGGTGCAGAAGCAGGGCACAGGTGCGCGGGCCGCTTGGAGACCACCTGCCCCGCAGGCTTTACTCGAGCAGAGCAGTGACGTGTGGAGGAACGAGCAAGCAGGTCTCCCGGGGAAGGGATGTTCCAGGGAGGAGCAGCAGCAAGTGGGGCCGGTTCTGGGGCCTGGGCAGCCGGACCCTCACAGTCTCCTCGCAGTCGTTCCTGCGTGTCTGTATTTCCTTCCGTAACAACAGCAATGCCATCCCTTCGCTGACCCCAGGTGCCAGGGCCCTCGGCGTGCGGCATCTTAGCCGCTCCTTAAACGTCGCAGTGACCCCGCCGTGGGTATCACTAGTCTCCATTTTACGGGTGAGGGACTGAGGCTCAGAGAGGTTCAGTCACTTCTCTTAAACTAGATTTTTTTTTAAAGATTTTATTTATTTATTTGAGAGAGAGAATGAGAGAGAGCACACGAGAGGGGGGAGGGTCAGAGGGAGCAGCAGACTCCCCGCCGAGCAGGGAGCCCGACGCGGGACTCGATCCCGGGACTCCGGGGTCACGACCTGAGCCGAAGGCCGTCGCCCAGCCGACGGAGCCACCCAGGCGCCCCTGAACTAGGTTTTTCTTTAAAAAGCCATACACACTGCCAGGAAAAGTCGAGCATTACAGAAGGCCGGCCGTGGAAAACCGGGGCCTGCCTTCTGCCTCCGCACGCATCCCTTCGTCCCCCGCTCCAGGAGTCTCCACGGTTAACAATTTCTTGGGTGACCGTTTTGATGCTTTCCACGCCTCTGCAAGCATACATACCTAGGGTAAATGTCTTTTTCTGCAAATGGGACCATTCTGTACATACCATTCTGCAGCTTTCGGAACCCAACAGTAGAACCCCGGTTCAGCGGTGTACCTGTGATGTGCCACGCTGCGTCCTCAGCACCAGGGACACAGTGGTGAGGAGGAAAAGCCCCTCCCTCGTGGGGCCCGCCTGACCCACCATGTTGCCACGCGCAGAGGCTTCTCGTGCACAGTAGCCTCACCCAGGGTGTAGACAGGGTTTCCAAGGCTTTTCCAAGGCTGCTCAGCGAACAGCCTGTGTACTTTGCCACATGTACCCTATGTTTCTAGAATTAAGATGGCATGTCATTGAAAATGTGTAAATGTCGGATTGCTGCCCGGCAAACCTGTCTTGCATTACGCTCCACCTTCAGTGGAGAAGGGGGCAGTTTTCTGCACTCTCCTTAATAGTAGACATGCCTATCTCACTGATTTACGATGATGAAAACAAGTTTTTTAAGGGAAGGATATTGAATTTTGTGGGTGCAAAGCGTGCCCGGGTCTTGGTTAGAACGGCCCGTGTCCACCTTGTTCTCTTCCGTCTCCGTGCTCTGCCGCCCCTCATCTCTGCCCTTCCCCATCACACCCGTCCTCCGCGGGCTCTCCCCGCCTCTACCCCACCTCTGTTCCTGCCTTTCCTTCCCGGTCCTGCTCCAGCCTTCCTCTGCCTTGGCCTCCCTCCCTCGGGGGAGCGCGCTGCCCTGTGGCTGCTGCCTGCGGCTCTCTCTGGCCGTGGGGCGGAGCGACACAGCCCAGCTCTGCAGGGCAGGTGACTCTCCCTCCGGGCCCTCCGCTCCTCTCTTCCCGGGGCAGCACCTTGGCTACCAGAGTCACCATGCCGAGGAGAGCTGTGGGGCACCAAGGAAGCGTGCCCAGCGTTTGCTGAGCCGAGTCTTCGGGGGGCCCGGCTGCCCACGTGGAGAGGTGGGCTGGGAGTGGGGGGCAGGATGCTCCCCTTCTTCTGTTTCTTCCTCCAGTGCCCACAGACAGCCCCTGCTGGGCTTGACTCTGGTGGTTAAAAAAGAGGGCTACCCTGCGTGGAGCACTGGGTGTTATGCACAAACAATGAATCACGGAACACTGCATCCAAAACTAATGATGTAATGTGTGGTGATTACCATAACAATAAAAAATTATTTTAAAAAAAGAATATTATTCAGCCATGAAAAAGAATGAAATCTTGACATTTGCAACAACATGGATGGAGCTAGAGAATATAACGCTAAGTGAAATGAGTCAGTCAGAGAAAGACAAATACCATATGATTTCACTCATATGTGGAATTTAAGAAACAAAACAAACAAGCAAAGCGGGGGGAGAGAAAGAGAGAGAGACAAACCAAGAAGCAGACTCTTAACTATAGAGAAGAAACTGATGACGACGAGAGGCGAGGGGGGTAGGGGGATGGGTGACAGAGGCGATGGGAATTAAGGACTGTACTTGTCATGATGAGCACTGGCTGATCCATGGAATTATTGAATTGCTATGTTGTACACTGAAAACAAATGTAACAGTGTATGTTAACTATATTGGAATTAAAAAAATAAAATATTCTATGTTGCCCCATTAAAAAAAAAAAGAGGGCTACCCAGTTAACACGGCTGAAGACCAGTGCAGGGAGAGGTCTTTCGTGGGGGCTTCAGACTTCAGCGAAGGACCCAGGCTCAGCTGGGGCTGCCGGGACAAAGTCAGGAGGGGGAACCAAATATCCCCACATATAGCCTGTGGGAATATCAGAGCTACAGGGTGAGGCTGTGAGGCCAGACCCCAGCTCTTCTCTGAAAGGGTCTGGTGAGGACTCCTTATGAACGTCGAGACTCTCCTCGGAGCCTGGCAGCCAGCTGGCTCCTCCTCCAAAAGCTCTTGGCTTTTTGTCCTTGGGCTTTGCCTTAAGAGCTAGTCTGTAGCAAGGCCCACATCCCTGGACTCCTGAGGCTTCGCTGTCTCCGTGCTCTGTAATAGCACAGCCGGGTGTGAGACCCCTCTGCTGGGCCCTGAACGGACGGACCTCCCTGGCATGGGCGGGCTAGGGGCGGGCAGGGAGCATGCACACGCTGCTCCAGAGAAGCTGAGAACACATCTCGGGGGCAGTCCGTGCCCCCTGTAACCAGGAAGAGTTCCAGCAGGAAATCCCACCAACCCAGAGCAGCAGGGCCTCTGCCTTAAGGACAATGTAATTTCAGGGGGGACAGACATTTCCTGATCATTAATGTACAAGAAACAAAGGCCACGAGAGAACAAGAAATAGGGCTGGAGGGTGGAGGATAGGGTGACATGACCTTCCGCAGGCAGAGGCTCCTGAAGGAAGGCTTCCTGGAGGAGGTGGTATGTGAGCCTTGCAGGACAGCCAGGTTCTTGACAGGGGGAGGTAGGAGGTTAAGCAGAGGAGGAGGACTTACCTTTAGACCCCAGAGGTCACCATGCTCCTGAATCTGACTTGAGAATTTCCTGTGGCCGTCTCTGGTCCCTGAAGTGACACAGGGGGATTTGGGGGGGGGGGGCAGGAACCAGGAGGGTGAAGCACCCAGAAGTGCTTCAGAGAGCGTGCTCCCTCTGGGGCTTCATTCTGCTTCTCCCCAAATGAGCTCCCTCTCCAGCAGCTTCCCGGGGAGCAGCTCCCTGGCAGTCAGTGGGGACTGGGATTGTCAGCGGCCTTGCAGTCCAGCGGTGCTGCTCGCCCTCCCTGAACTCTGGGGGCCAGAGCTTTCCATGCCTCTGCAAGCATATATATCTAGGATAAATGGATTCCTGGCCCCGTGGCTAGGTATATTAAAATTCAAAATATTTCTTAAGTTTAAATATTTATACAAAACCAATTCATGATTTTACTTAACCAGTTTTAATGGAAACAAACTCAGTCATATTTCCAAAGTCTATTACTTATTTTCAGTGGAGAGAATGGCCAGGTTGATTTCTTTTGACCACGTGATGAGCTTAAATGTTTCATGGTCATGAACTGCAGCTTATCGAGATGCCTTACGGGACGCCACTGTGACGGGCAGGGTGAATGGCCTTCTCGAGGCCGCTCCCAGAGTAGAGAGGAGTGCACTCCGCACTGTGAACTGTTCTAGAAGATGCAGACGCCAGACACGGGGATCATTGTACATCATCAAGTACTGATATTGCATGCTGCTTAGATAATTCCAGATAAAACTTCTGTATTCCAGAGGATTTACGTCAGAATATTGAAGAGTCCAATTGGTGGCTGCTTTGCAGAAATCAGATGTATACACAGAAAATAATTTTTCTCCAGTTAAAAATTCAGAATCTGAAGACAGCTTTTTTTTTTTTAAGGTTCCAGGAGTGCCATCCTGAACTTGGAATGTGTAGCCTTCAGAGGTAGTTCCTGGCACAGCATTAGAATCTGAAGACGTGTTCATTTCTCGTGTCTTCATTTCCAGCGGGGCAGGAGAGTGTCTGGGAGCCTAATCTCCATCGGATGTGCAGCCCCCCGCTGTCCAGGGATTCCTTTTCACTTCCATATTTTTATTTTGAAACTCAGGCCGTATATTCATATCTTCTGCTACAATCTTACATTCATCTGCGACTTTCAAGTTACATTTGTGCTGTAAGCAGAGGGACAGCATTAAGCACGAAGCATGCAGCTGGATGCACAGTCCTGTTTCACTGTCTAGCGTCCCACAAAGACTCCAGACGTGTGCAGTCTGTTTGCACTGAGATGCTTTCAATGTCAACACATTGTAGTTTTCATTTGATATATATTTCAATATTTACAAATATCTTTGTGGGTGAAGTGCCTGATTGCATTTAATCTTGAACCTCATGGGGTATCTGGATGTGTTTTTAATGGAGGTTTTAGAACAGACATCAGAATATCCCTTCTGCTCATTCATTTTTCCTTGAAATCACACACAAAAAAATATGTGTCTATACCTTTTACACAGTGCTAAAGAAGCTTATCAAATCTGATTTCACACAAGGGGCATTTTTGCACATGAAGATTATGAGTGCGGAAGGCACCAATCTGACACAATCATATTTCGGGGAAAATAATGGTGTATGCACTCTTGTATAACTTGCCATACTTGCTCCCTTATTACATCCCTGGTCACGAGCATTTTTTACATCAACTCCCTTTCCAACCTCTACTTTCCTACGCTAGACCTAGGAGGCTTTTTCCTTCATTTCGATAAAGTCAGTATACGTTATTTTATCATTACGACATTACTCTCCATGCAAGCAGCCCTACAGTCTGACACTCGTTCACGGTGGGCACAATCAGAGAGTAAGGAAAAGTATTTGCATCCAATTGATAGACGATCTAGCGTGGTTTGCTTACAGCATTACACATTTGTTCTGTATTTTATTAGACAAGACATATGGACTTCCAGTAGTTTCTTGGGATTCTCTCTAAGATGCACATTATTTTTTGTTCAAAGTGTCATAGCTAAAATCATTCAAAATATTCTGCCATTTGAGGCACCTGGGTGGCTCAGCTGGTTAAGCGTCTGCCTTCGGCTCAGGTCATGATCCGAGGGTCCTGGGATCGAGCCCCACATCAGGCTCCCTGCTCCTCGGGGAGCCTGCTTCTCTCTCTCCCTCTGCCTGCCGCTCCCCCTGCCTGTGCTCTCTGTTTCTCTCTCTCTGTGTCAAATAAATAAACAAAATCTTTAAAAAATATATTCTGCCATTCTTTGTTTCTCTGATTTCATCATCTTCTGCAAGGCATCATCTAATAAACCATCAGTTTGAATATTTAAAAAAAAATACTTCCATTTTAGAGACCATCACAATGAAACATCAACTTTTCAAGGTCACAGATTCTGTTTAAATTTTTCTAATCTTTTTTCTAATCTTTGAAACCTTTTTTTGCATTGCAAAAATTTGATTGTTATATTACTGCAGAAAAGTATGCATGAAAAATAAAGACAATTCTTTGGATTAAATGAGCCAATCACAGTGAATTCATTTGCCTAGAACATTAAAAAAAAAAGTCTTTAGAAAAATCTTTGGACTATTATTTAGCAAAAAAAAAAAAAAAGGAAGTTCTGATACATGCTACAACATGGATGAATCTTGAAAACATTTTGCCAGGTGAAATAAGCCAAACAGAAGACAAACAGCGTATGGTTCCAGTAAGACTTACCTAGAATAGGCAAATTTATGGAGACAAAGCAGAACAGAGTGTACTAGGGGCAGGCGGAAGAGAGCGTTCGGGAGATATTACTTAACGCCTGGTGTGGTGAAAAGTTCTGGAAACTAGCTGTGGCTCAGCATCGTGAAGCTACCTAATGCCGCTAAAGGGTACACTTAAAATGGCTAAAATGATAAGTTTTCTTTTATGTATATTTTACCACAATAAAAAAGTCAACCAAGGAAAGTTATCAACTGCGCAGAACATAAACGTACCCAAGACCCCATAACTCTATGCCGGGGCCCCTCCCAGTGAAGAACCAGTGCTCACCAGAAGGTCTGCATGGGAGTGTTCAGAGCCACAGCATTTGCTAAGAGCCTCAGACTGGATACAACTCAGCTGTTTGTAAACGCGAGGACGCATTTGTGAGGGGCGCTGCATCCAGACGGGAGTTACTCTGCAGTGACGACAAGAGGTCGGGTCTGACCGCTGACAATTCAGACGAGTCTCACCAACATGGTGCTGAGCGAAAGAAGTCAGGGTTGGAAGAGCATGTACTGTATGATTCCACTTATGTGAAGTTCAAACCCAGGCAAAATCAACCCGGAGCATAGTGCTAACCTTGAGGGGTGGTGACTGGAAGTGGCTTCTGAGACGCATGAAATGTTCTGTTTTGTGATCTGGGTCCTAGTTAGTGGGAGTATTTACTTTGTGAAAATTCATCAAGCTATATACACTTAGGATTTGTGTACTTGCCTGTAAGTATGGTTTTACTTCAGTAAAAAAAAAGTTTACTTAAAAAAAAATCAAAGAAATCAATCATTACAAATAGCAGAAAATTATGTACCCGGTGGAAATAAAGTAGTAAAAGTGTTTTTTTATATAAAAAAGTGAATAATGGTGGGGCGCCTGGGTGGCTCAGTTGTTAAGCATCTGCCTTCAGCTCAGGTCGTGACCCCGGGAGTCCTGGGACCAAGCCCCCCCCACCATCGGGCTCCCGCCCCGCCTCGGGCTCCCTGCTCCACAGGAAGCCTACTTCTCCCTCTCCCACTCCCTCTCTTGCTGTGTCTGTGTTCCCTCTCTCGCTGTGTCTTTCTCTGTCAAATAAATAAATAAAATGTTAAAAGAAAAGTGAATAATGGTGACCTATTTATCACTGACTTAAGTGAATAAAGTATAAAAGTTTCCTAGTAAATCTATTTTCCTGGTTAAAAATTCTCAGAAAATGTTAGATCAAGTCTCATTTGTGAAAAGTCAAATATATTCATAAATAAGATGTGTATTGCTCATTTCAGTGCCTGAGACAGGGTCCAGAAAAGCCTTTTGAGGAAGTGACCTTTGAGCTGAATTTGGGGAATGAGCAGCCACTTCAGGAGTGGAAGTTGTTCTAATCAAAGGGAATGGCAGGGACCCAGGCTTGAGGTCCAAAGACCTGCTGTGTCCTGGAGAAAGAAGGGAGCCCAGGGGCAGCGCCACAGTCAGGGGACAGGACTCATGAGGTTGGAGGGGGAGGAGGGGAGCTAATGGAGGACCTCATAAGCATGGCAGGGAGTTTGGATTTGATTCCAAGCAAATGGGAAGCAACTGAGAAACTTAAAGCAGGGGAGGGCAATAGGCCAAGCTGTGTTTTAAAATGATCTCTCTCCCTTTCTGAAAAATCAGCTGCAGGAGGGCAAGAGTCTAACAGGGAGGAGGCAGTCTCATTTGTCTCAGAAAGAAACGCCGACACGCCTCAGAGGTATTGGGGGTTCGGTTCCAGAACACCACCGTAAGGCCAATATTGCCGTTAAGTGAGTCAAGTGAACTTACTGGTTTCCCAGTGCATATTAAAGTTATGTTTACATGATACTGTAGTCTGAGTGGATACTGAGGTGGGCAATAGTCTCATGTCTAAAAAATATACATACTTTAATTAAAATGTGTTTTATTGCTAAAAAATGCTGACCGTCATCTGAGCTCTCAGTGAGTCGTAGTCCTTTTGCTGGAGGAGGTTCTTGCCTCGATGTTCATGGCCGGTGACAGATCAGGGTGGTGGCTGCTGATGGCTGGGGTGTCTGTGGCAGGTTCCTAAAATAAGAAAACAAAGTTAGTTTGCTGCATCAATGGACTCTTCCTTTCACGGATAATTTCTCTGTCGCATGTGATGCTGTTTGATAGCATTTCACCCACAGTAGAACTTCCTGCCACCGCTTTATCACCTAAGTGTACGTAATATCCTAAATCCTGTGTTGTCCCTTCAACGGTCTTCATGGCATTATCACCAGGACTAGATTCTGTCTCAGAAAACCGCTTTCTTTGTCCATCCATAGGAAGCAACTCCTCACCCCTCGCGTTTTATCATGAGATTGTCACAATCCAGTCCCTTCTTCCGGCTCCACTTGTAATTCCAGTTCTCCTGCTGTTTCCGGCCCATCTGCAGTGGCTTCTTCATAGAAGGATTGAACTCTCCATGTCATCCATGAGGGCTGGAATCAGCTTCTTCCAAACTCTTATTAATGTTGATATTTTGATGTCGTCCCATGAAACATGAATGTTTTAATATAAAACATATAGAATGGTGAATCCTTCCCAGAAGGTTTTCAGTTTACTTTGCCCAGATCCATCAGCGGAGCCACAATGACAGCTAGAGCCTCGTGAAATGTATTTCTTAAATAATAAGACCTGAAAGTCAAAATGACTCCTTGATCCATGGGCTGCAGGATGGTTGTTGTGTGGGCGGGAATGAAAACAACATTCATCCCGTCCATCTCCATCAGAGCTCTTGGGTGACCCAGTACGCTGTCAGTGAGCAGTCATATTTTGAAAGGAGTCTTTTTTTATGAGCAGTAGGTCTCAACAGTGGGCTTAAAATATTCAGCAAACCATGTTGTACACAGATGTGCTATCGTATTTATAGAGCACAAGCAGAGTAGATTTCCCATAATCCCCAAATCCCCAGGATTTTCAGAATGGTCAGTGAGCATTGGCTTTAAGTCAGCAGCTGCATGAGCCTCTAACAAGAGAGGCAGCTGGTCCTTTGAAGCTTTGACGCCAAGCACTGACCTCTCTAGCTGTCGAAGTCCTAGATAACCTCTTCTTCCAACATAATGCTGCTTCGTCTACAGGGAAGATCTGTTGTTTAGTGTAGCCACGTTCATTCATTATCTCACTAGATCTGGACAACTTGCTGCAGCTTCTCCATCAGCACCTGCTGCTTCACCTTGCACTTGTATGTTATGGAGACTGACGACTGACTTCTTTCCTTAAACCTCCTGAACCCACCTCTGCCAGCTTCCGACTTCTCTGCTGCAGCTTCTTCACCTCTCTCAGACTTCACAGAATTGAAGAGAGTCAGGGCCTTGCTCTGGACTGGGCTTTGGCTTAAGGGAATGTTGATCTTCTATCCAGACCATGAAAACTGTCTCCACATCAGCAATAAGCCTGTCTTGCTTTCTTCTCAACCGTGTGTTCACTGGCGTGGCCCTTCTAATTTCCCCAAGAACTTCTCTTTTGCATCCACAACTGGGAGGACTGTTTGGTGCAAGAGGCCTAGCCTTTGACCGGTCTCAGTTTCGACATGCCTGCCTCACTAAGCGTCATCATTTCTAGCTTTTGATTGAAAGTACACACTGGGTGTTATGCACAAACAATGAATCGTGGAACACTACATCCAAAACTAATGATGTAATGTATGGTGATTAACATAACAATAAAAAATTTAAAAAAAAAGAAAAAGAAAGTGAGAGACATGTGACTGTTCCTTTCACTTGAGCACTTAGAGGCCATTGCAGGGTTATTAACTGACCTAATTTCAATATTGTTGTGTCTCAGGGAACAGGGAGGCCCGAGGAGAGGGAGAGGGATGGGGAACGGCCAGTTAGTGGGTGGAGCAGTGAGGACACACACGACATTTATTGGTCACATTTGTTGTCTTCTATGGGCGCCATTCATAGTGCCCAAAACGATCGCAGCAGTAACATCAAATATCACTGAGCACAGATCATCATAACAAATATAATGAACAAGTCTGAAATATTGCGAGAATTACCAAATGAGCAAATGCTATTGGAAAAATGGCGCCAGTAGACTTGCTTGACATGGATTGCCACAAATCTTCCATTTGTAAAAACTACAGTATATGTGATGCACAATAAAGCAAAGCACAATAAAATGGGGTGAGCCTGTGATGGGGCTTGGTCTAGGGTTGCAGTGGCAGAAATGGGACGTGGAAGAGTTCTGGAAGTAGAGCAGGCAAGATCTACTACCGAATTGTATGTGTGGGATGAGGGAAAGGTAGAAATCAAGGCTGATGCCTAGGTAAATGGTGATTTGAGAAAGACGAGGGTGAATAGGTTTTGGGGAGAGGGCAAGAGTTGTATTTGGCATGTACTGTAAATGGCATAATTTG